AGATAGATAGATAGTTAATTAGATAGATAGATAGATAGTTAATTAGATAGATAGGTAGCCACACACACTAGATCAGCGCACACACACCAGCAGTGGTTCACTGGAAAAACACAATGCACAGAGTTAAGTTACTTCTGTATTCTCATGTAACATACCTTGTTAGAGATGAGACAGTTGGGGGTGAGACGTGTAATCAAAACACAAACACAGAGACGTAAATAAACACATGTGCTTACCTACTGAGCGCTTTAAGGACAAAGACAATTGAAACCAGGAGGAGAAAAGAATCAGCCAAGGAGGGGGTCTTCAGTTGCAGCTGTTAATGTTGGTTCTGTCACAAATAATTTACATAAGCATGAGGAAATGACATTAGGCTCTCTAGATTAGCAGTATTGGTGTAAGAATAAATATCTATAGAGGACATTTTTTCTTGTTTTTCAGGGCAGGGGTTATATTATGTAAATAAGGGAGGTTGTGAATGGGCAATTTATGCTGATGTTCTTCAGCAAAGCAGCCTACATTTGTGCAGAGGCACGCTGGAAGGTGTTGATTGTCTTCATCAGATTGACAGTATGTAGGAAGGAACTGTCTCCCTGATGGTTGTTTTTATGGAAATAGTGCTCTGTACCACTGTGAAGTCTGAACAGTTTCTGTACAGGGTGCGTGGGGTCTTAGAGGTGTTCCCTTTGCCCCTTTATCAGACCCTAGACATGTACGAATCCCTGCAAGAGGAAAGGTCTGTCCCATTGACCCTCTCTGCAGATGCAAATGTTTGCTGCAGTTTAGATCTGTCCTGTTTTGTGGATCAGTCAAACCACACTATGATGAATGGTAGCAGGAGAGACGGCTGTCATTTGCAATGCCAAGATTGTTATAGACTCGTCTGCTGAGATATATGCCTAGGGAGAAAAAGGAGTTGGGAGAAGACACATCCTTGGGGACACCTGTCTTAAAGGTTCTTGAATATTCTGGAGGAAGCTGGTGATCCACTGAATGGTGGAGGCCAGTATGGCGACCTAGATGAGCTTCTGTTTGGAGATTATCCAAGTTTGGTGTTAAAGGCAGGATCCTAGCTTATATTTATGGGTGTTTGAGGTACTGCAAGATGCAACACACTCTCAGGTTAACAAGATCATCTGCCAACAAGATCATCTGCCAACCTGTGTTCAAAGGATTTAATGACCATAGCTATCAGGGCGACCGGTCTGTTTTCATTTAACCCTGTGTTTTTGTGTTTCTTGAGGACCGGGATGATGGTGGAGAGTTTAAAACATGAGGGAGCCTCATTCTGCTTCAGATACTTGTTAAAAATCCAAGTAAAGATGGAGGTGAGAACAGCCAGCAAAGGTTTTGAGGTAAAAGGGGAAAATACCCTTGAATCCTGGAGCTATTCTAGTCTTCAGATGCTGAAAGACCTTATAAACATCTTACTCAGTGATCTGTAGTGCAGGAAGTAGTGCATTCATGTGTGGTGCAGACTTTTATTCGGCCCCCTTTACTCTAATACCCTTCAAATAAACTATAGTGCAACTAACAACTTTTGAAGTCAACTCATTCAGAAATATATTATCTTTTTTTGTGTAATTTAATCATATATGAATCTAGTTCATTCCAAGAATCTCTCAGAGCCTTTTTCTGTCTGTTATGTTGAAACTGAAAAATACTAAGAAACAGTCATCTACCTAAACTAAAAGGCTCATCGTACTGTAGATGGATATATGTCAGGGAAGTAGCAAAGAGGCCCATGGTAACTCCAGATAATCTGCTGATGGATATCTTGAATTTCACAAATTAGGGCACACTATAAACAGCAATATTGTATTTTATTTATCGGTGTGTTTAACTTTAAATCTCACTGTAGGTTTAGACGATCTCAGTTTTCTCATCATGAAGATTCTCTGTAGCAGCTGCAGTGACGCGTCCGCTGGATACTGTTGCTTTTTGAATCCTGTTTATTCTTCCAGCAATATTTTCTGTTTTGCCTTAAATTATTTCACCGCTCACTGCTGGTTGGTTAAGCTAATTTTAAATTTTTTTAATTTATATTTGTTAAATATTTTAAAGGAAATAATGCTTTAGTTTTTGCAGATTTGTAATGTTTCCCCTCAATGTGACTTTTGCTCATTTCATTAACCTTAGGGCAACATTTTATACAATAACTCCCCCGTTATTTATACATATTATCATGATAAAAAAAATAAAACATTTTGATTAGCTCTTTTACCGGTATAAGTTTTTACATAAATTCTAATATTTGTATTGAAGCTCGAGTCAAATCAAACAATTAAGCTGAATTTTAACAATCTTGCTTTACAACCATATGGTATCTGGGTACATGATTTCTAAAATCATCACAGAATGAGACGTCATTTGAGCAGCTCAGCCTTTTCACTTCTTTTCCATTCCCTTCTACTTCCCTTTTAATCAGGCAGGGAGATTAACGCCTATCTGCCTTGGCCTCCTAATTCTTCCTCTTAAACTGAAGTCATTTGAATCATGGTGCAACATGCGAACGATAGAGATAGATAAAGGAAAAAAGAAGAGGAGGGGTCGTTTGATGGGTGGATTAAAAACCCTGTGGGAGGAGGAGGAGAGGGAAGCTGTGTCTGCAGAGACAAGTGCCATCAGAGGAAGGTCGGTTGGACAGGGTTGGTCTGTGTATTGTTGGGTCGGGTTGCTCATGCATGGATTTTAAACGTGTAAAGAAATACCGTAAGAATAAGAGAAAGGAGAGAAAGGTTGGTTGCAGGGGGTGAAGTTTTTGACCTAGAGTTCTGGTGATGGGAAACTGCAACGAACCAGCTATTAAACGGAAACTAAAGAAGGTAGGAGGAATATGATTAGTTTTTTGTTTCTGATTTTCTATAACCCTTTTTTACTTTTAGTTGCTAAATTTAATATTATAGTGAAGGAATTGACCTATATATATGTGTTCGAATAGTTAAAACGTACAGCAATATTCAATAAATTGGAATATCATTGAAAGGTTTATTTATTTCTTGCCTATTTTGGTCATTTTCTGCTTATAGCTACTGGGAAGTATAAAATTCAACATACTAAGATAAGAATATTAGATCAGACAAAAAGGAAAAAATATTTTAAAAGCACAAACGTGAGCTTACTTGTTGCTTAAGGATTGTTATTTTCAAAAGTACTTTTAATTAGATCACTAAGACTCATCAGATGTATAGATTTGTCATTATATCTTTATATTTCACTGCTATTCTGTCTTGGAAGAATAAAAAATGAAAATATAACACAAAACTACAGGTTGATTAAACATTGCAGAACATTACATTAAGTTAAATTGTTGTATTTTATAACTTTCTTAGAACTGGGTTTAGTTACAACTGCGGTGAAAACAACAATTACTTTGTTGGCCTTTTTCTGGTCTGATTATAACTGAGTTTCTGGAGCTTTTCTAAATATGTTATCATATTTTTCATAGTGGGAGGAATTAAAAGAGAAGTCTTTTACTTTCTTTGTTCTAAAATGAACGCTCTTTAAAGGATTCTGTTCAGTCACTACTGGGAATGGTCCAAGTTTTTTTCATGTGTGAATAATTTTTACTTTTGTTTGAAAAAGGTCTCGAAGCCTTAAAAATGTCTTTAAAACTTTTCCGGACTAATAGATTTCAGTGACTTCTCTTTGGTCCTAAAATTTCTTTTGTTTAGAGCATGATATGTTTTTAGATCCTTTATCCTACTAGATGTTAACAGACTGGTTCTCTTTAAGTTTTATTGATATTATAGACTGCTGATATTGCAGTTAGCACTGAAAACCTGTTTATATTTACTGGGGCTTTCTTTCTATATAGTTAAAAGGTTTTTTGTTCTGATCAAAAAGCCTTTTTTTCATTGCAGTCTATATCGCGACCAGGGTCTTTTACAAAATAAGGCCGGAGCTTTACGCGAAGAACCAACCAATTATTAAGCTGATTTTTGAAGTGATTCACAGACAATAAAATGCTTGATGTAGGTGTTAGTGAGGATTTCTGTGAAATAATGAGATTCTTACATAATTCAGGCTTAAAGTCCCATTCAGGCTTACGTTGGCATGTGCAGAAAACATTGGTCCATATTGTGTTCCATCAGTGACAAATCAGGTTTATGTTGCTGTGAGAGCTTTAATCTAACAGCCGATGTGTCTTTATAAGAGGGCCACACATGGGACACAGCGGGGTAGGCTGAGGGGCCAGCAGGGTCTGCAGGAGGAAGACGAGGAAGATCAGGATATGGAGGATAAGTCATTTAAGGATTCCTTCAGGGTGCTGATGAGGAACTACAAAGTGCTGCAGAACATCATAGGCCCTGCCTGCATCTTCCTTAAAAAGGGCTTTGTTCAGACAACCGTATGTAACAGAAATCACTCTGTCCTCCTCATTAAGCTTTTCCACTCGTTTCATCCCCACATCTGGGCCCTCCATCAGCCTCCTCCCCTCATCACACAGGCCTGGGTCAGACAATCAGATCCCGCAGCACAACATGTCCTGGGAAGGATTGATTGCCGACTTTGATGGAAAATTATCGACTCGCTTTGTAAAGCTTGTCTTTAAAATCTGGGACAGGAAAATGTGTTAATTTCCAACTGAGACAAGTGGGCGATCAGACAAATTAGGTCTTGGTGAGACAGCAATACTTGCTAAATCATCTAGCTATAAACCTAGGCACTTGTATCATTCCTCTGCTTTATATTTCAAATTTAAATTAGGACTCTGCAATAAATTGATCCCTTTGTCCACTGTCTATATCTGCTTATCCACGCTATCTCCAGCTCATTGGCTGAAAGGTGTCATAGGGCAGATAGTATGTACACAACCACACCTAAGGGCAATAAAGAAAAAAATAATGATTTAAAACTAATGTCTTTGGACACCAGAGTCAACTATGGGGGCAACCTGTCAACTACATGCATAAAGTTCCTGATCGGGACTGGGAACCAGATCTTTCTTTCTGCAAAGCAGCAGAACTAAATCTTTAGTCAGTGTTTCATCTGAAAATTATATGGTTTTCACATTTTTAATGCAATTTTATTCAGCTAGCTCTGCTTCAATGCACTTTAAAAGATTAAAAGATGTTTCTTATCACCCTGAATACACCAGCCCCTTTAGGAAAACACAGTAGTTGCAGCATAATGCGTTGGGGTGGCTTTTCTGTACCAAGCAAGAAAGATCTGACAGGAAGATTGATCAAGCTAAGTAATGGGGCATACTTGGCAGAAAGCTAAAGGAAACAAAACTGAAATCTAAAGGCGTGGCAACGACTGTAATCATGCAGAATGGCCTAGTCAAAGTCAGAAGGTTTTCTTTAGAAAGGGAAAATGACGCAAAATTAAGAGTGACCAAAAAGTAGGGTTAATGTTATCACATATGAAAAATAACTGTTTATAAAGACATCTAATCATGATTACATCACAGTTAGCCTATCAATCAACATAAAGACTAAATATTGAAAGTTTTTTTTATATATATCTGAATTTTCCACTTCCATCATGTTGAACTTGCTTTCATTGTTGTTTAGTGTACCCCCATGAGCTGATGTGCTTATTTTGTGTCTAAATGTTTGGAAAATGTGATTTTGTCTCTGGGCTTTAATAAATAAGCTTTTAGTGCAGAAATAAATCCGTTCTCTTAACTCTTTTCCCCCAACAGGATAGAGAGCTCAGACCAGAGGAGCTGGAAGGTAAGACAATTGCAAATCATTCTGAACTGTGAACATTTATTGTGCTTACAATAATAAAAAGATTTGAATTTCTGATCAGAGCTCCGTGAGGCATTTGTGGAATTTGACAAGAACAAGAAGGGCTACATCAGTCACAGAGATCTCGGGGAGTGCATGAGGACTATGGGATACATGCCTACAGAGATGGAGCTCATCGAACTCAGCCAACAGATCTGTGAGTGAAGCAACTGCAGATCACAGAAAAAGGAATAAAATATGAGACAAATAATGCTTTCTTAAATGTGTGATATGGGCAGTTGTCCAGGGCGGCATTAGAAAAGGTTGAACACGGCACAAAATAGAATAGAAAATAGAAAATCCCTTTATTGTTCCACAATGGGGAAATTTAGTTAACAGCAGCAAGTGACAGGTAATATACAGTAAAAGGGTCACACAGGTATAGAAATAAAAAAGTGTATATATGTACCAAAAAATAATAACAGAATAAAGTGAAAAAAGGTTAAACAAAAACAGTCAGTAAAAAGAAGGATAAATAACCAATAAACTAAGTAAGTGAGTATGTATAGAAATAGCAGCAACAGAAAATATGTTATAGTCCTCCAGCTGCAGGGAGGAAGAAGCTGCGATAAACGCTCTTTTGTGCATTCACCGTAAAGCAGGAGCTCTGCAGTTCAGCTGCAGCTTCATGCATGGGGTGGTAGACATTTTCCAACAGATATGTTAGTTTAGTTACAGTCCTTTTGTTTCCAACCACCTGAGCTGAGTCCAGGGGGCATCCAAGCACAAAGCTGGCCTTCCTGACGAGTTTATCCAACCGATTCCTCTGAGCCACAGATAATGCTCCAAAACACTACACCATAGAAGTTGGTCGATGCAACAACAGAGTCAAAGATAGACTTCAGGGGTGGTCCTGCAGTTCCAAAAGACTTCAGTCACCTCAGCCTGCTCTGATCCTTTCTTATAGACATCATCACTGTTATGAGTCCAGTCCAGTGTACTAAACAGTACACTGGACTGGACTCAGAACAGTAATGACTCCCATATACTTTTAAGTGTCCACTACAGTATCTCAATGTCCGCCCCCTGGACATGACATGATAAAAATGGAGCTTGTCTGTCAGATTTATGTTTTTTGTGTTTAGAATGGAAAGCTTCAATGTGCAGAAAAAGCATCAGCTACTTGGTGCTAACCACAACATAGCTTATTCTGTTATTCCATAACCAAGAGGATGTGAGCAGAATTGATTGTATTTTAATGTGACTGTGTTTGTGTTTTCTAGCTGGAGGCAAAGTGGACTTTGAGGATTTTGTGGAGCTGATGGGACCAAAGTTGCTGGCAGAGACAGCAGACATGATTGGGGTCAAAGAGCTACGAGACGCATTCAAAGAGGTTCAAATAGATATAATTCATTATTTTTGGACACATAAAGAAATAAAGACTCCACGCACGAGAAATACTGACTGATCTAATTAATTACTCACAGCTCACAAACAAACACTGAGCTCCCTTAGAGATCTGAGTTTAAGAACCCCAATAATTTTAATCTAAGTTGGATTTTTTCTTTGTTTCAGTGTTTTATGTTAGTTAATTATTATGAGTTTACAAGTTTTACACTGTTAACATAAGTTTCAATAGAGGTGGGGATTTGCGCTGTTTTCTCATTAGAGTAGACAGGTTTTATGTTGCGTTTTAATGAGAAACTGTCTACAGATCTGGCAGCTCTTATTGATAGTTGTGTAGGTGGTTAGCAGTTAGCGATAGTCTCCTAAAGTCTCTACTTGAGTAATGGTTTAGCATTAGCAAAGCTAATATTTAATTTCTGTGAATATGGGTTAACGCAGCTAACTTTTTTGTAAATCTGGCCCACTCCTGTCTATGTAAAACAAAGAAAACACATAGGGAATCACACTGTAAAAAATGTATCAAATGGATTTAAAGTGTGTAGAATCATGGATTGACTGTCATCTACCAAGTTTTGTGCTTCACTCATCAAATTTCTTAATTAGTGCAATGTATGTAAAAGCAAGAAAACACTAGAAAATCAGGAACAGATAAAAAAAGAAAGTTTCTGATATTAGTCAATCATGGAAAGGATAAGGTTTATGTAATTTATTGGCCTTTTTTATTTTTATTGAACTTTATTGATCTCACACTGGAGAAATTTACCTTTGCATTTAACCCATCCCCTTGGGGAGCAGTGGGCTGCCATTGTGCAGCACCTGGGGAGCAGTTTGGGGTTAAGGGTCTTGCTCAGGGACCCAAGTTCAGGCTTTGTGGATTGAACTAGGTACTTGCAATGTTCTTAGAGCACAAGCACACTTTAACACGCTAGGCCAACACTTCCCCCTCACTTTGAAACTCAGAATAACCACACTGAGAAACAATATCCACAAATTAAAATAAATTAAAAAAAACAGGGGAAACTCCTCTTGTAAATGGTCTGAAATACTTCAGGCTAATCAGAAATGTATATCTAATTTGTTCGAAGTCAGAAAACTAAAAATATATAATCACATGTCATATATTTTTTAAGATTCCTTTGTAAATATGCACTATTTTTAGGTAGGACATAAACTTTTTTACGAATATAGATGTGATTTAAGCAAAGTACTTGGAAAACAACAAGAGGCATCATCAGTAGTGTTTACTTCATGGGTGACGCTTTAGAAATCAGTAAATCCAGTAGCTTAATATTAATAAGTAAATTTTTACTCTTCTCCCCATTTTATTAAAATTGCTGTCGCATTGGTCACCTTGTCTGTCTGCAGTTTGACTCTAATGGGGACGGTCAGATCAGTTTGACGGAGCTGCGTGAGGCCATGAAGAAGCTGATGGGAGAACAAGTGACAAACAGAGAGATTAACGAGATCCTTAAGGATGTTGATCTGAATGGAGACGGCCTGGTTGACTTTGAGGGTAAGAAAGATTCAACATAATATCTTCGACATCCACCTCAATGCTTCTCATTTCTGTGTTTCTGTCTTCTCAGAGTTTGTGCGAATGATGTCTCGCTGATCATCCCAGCTGTCCTGCATGTAACACAGGAAAAAGCAACACGTTCCTGCTGTGAACTTTATTTTCAATGTGTTTAATATAAATATTTTTCTATCAAATATCAAAACAGGAAAATATATAACTGAGACAAAGGAAAACATATGAATAGCAGTATAATACATATCAGCTTGCAAATGAAAATGTATAATCTCTTGATTTTATCATATTTTTTATATGTAAGTTATTCTTTTTTCGGGGTGTATTTTTTTGTAAAAATTCCTATTTTAATAGCGAATAAATAAACAGATGAATGGAGAAACAGAAGCCAGTTATTTATGTATTATTTATTATTATCATTTATTTCTATTTAAGGTGAAATGGAAAACTTTTAATTTGTGATGTTCAGAAGAGAAAAGAGGAGATTTTAATAGTTTTCTAGATTAATTTCCTCCTCTTTTTAGAAATCAGAAATTGAAAAAAGTTTTTAAACTTATCCCAATCAATCAAGTATCCCTTTTTGGCTTTTTTCTTTCACAAAAGATGTGCAAATTCCAACTAGAAATATCTGCAAAGAGGATCACCAGACAAGATAAGATTGACTATGTTGATCTCACATTGGAGAAATTCACTTGTCACATCAGCTAACTGGCAAAAGAAGGTGCCAAAATGAGGAAAAGGTGCATGGGGTATGTACAGTGTGTCCACACTGTACAGCTGAAGTATCTTATTTAACAGGGTTATTGCACAGGTTATTGCACAGTAATATCATGTGCAATAACCCTGTTAAATTGTTAGATTCCCTCCTTCCATGAGTTGTATGGGTCTAGAGATAGAAGAAATGTATTTGACAGTTTGTCTGCAGAGATGACAGCATCTGTGACTCTTCAAAGCTCTTTTAACAAAAACATCCCCCACAGACCCAGTTTCTTCCCCAGGTTAATCCGATGAACCCAAACAATCACAGCTAAAAAAGGCAAAATTATACACTGAAAACTAGAAACACACATTAAAACACTAGTCGATTTCCATTTTAATATATTTATATTTAAAATATCTTCATGTTGATTTCAGGAGTTGGGTTGGCTCTTTAGTTTCAATCACATCAACTTTCAATAATTCTTTATCATAACAACGAATTTTGGGCAGTTTTACAGCCTTGATTCTGTGGGACATTTAGACTGGTAAATCATTGTTCCAGTGTGACACAAAACCAGTTCTGTAAAGAACTGTACTGGTTTCCAAACAGTCCTGTTCTCCAACTGATATCATCCTTTTGAGGAGCAGAGGCGTAGCCAGAAAAATTTTATAAGGGTGGCCAGGCAATGTCCAATGTACACTAAGGGGTGGCGAAAAGTGGATAGGCATCAGAACCTCTGGGTCAATCTACACTGTTCCAACAGGAACATTAATGAGCACAACATCCATATTTTCCAAATAAAGACAAAATATCCTTTCCTACAGCCTTTGCTAAAAATAAATGCATATATTTAAACATCTTCCTAGATAAAAGGTAAAGTGGATTCAATTCTTTCAGGTTTGAGTTCTGGGGTGAATATCGTTTCAATTTTCATTAGTTACCTTTATCAATAATCATTCTGCAAAAAGTATATATTTACAAGTACTAATATCTACATAAAACGATTAATACCTTTTTATAAAAATAGTTATCTATGATTTCACTGAATACTCCTATATGACTTGCAGAGAGAAATAATTTTCTCTTTACCCCATATAACACAAAATGTAGTTCTGAAAAGAGCTTGAATTCTGTACTTTTCATCTTTAACCAGTGTTTTTGTTGTCAAGTAAATGTTTACATAGGAAAAATTTAAATGTTTTGAATATTTCACTTGAGAGTATTACTGTTGCCATCATCTGTATTAGAGGGGAAAAAATGGTTGGGGTGGCCACAGGGGCCCCCCCATCTAGCTCTGCCCCTGTTGGGGAGGTGAGATTACAAACCAGGTCTTCTTATTTAAAATCAGTGTCTAAACTTCAAAAACTGTCTTTTGGAAAAAGGATCATAAACACTTATTACAAAAAAAAAAAAAAAACATGAAAAAAAAATAATTTGAAAAACTTTTTTTCAGAAGATTTGGAATGATTTCCACTGTAAAGACTGGGCTGACATCTTAATGAACTATATCAACAAAAAATGGGATTTCTTTTAAGTTCATGTGAAGGCAAACAAGACAGTATGTTAGCCGCTAACATTTTAGACTTTAGACTTTACCAATTCAGTAATTCTCTTTTAATCATTAGAAAATAACTCTATTGAAATAAAACGGGGATAAATAACTATGCAGCATTTAAGAAAACAAAAAAAAAACACAAGTTCAAAAATAACAACTTCATGGTTTGTTGTTATTTACGACCAAAGCTGCAAAAATGTGTTAAACAAAATAGATGAAATATAGAAAATAGCTAATAAAGCAAAGAGACCTGCATACATTTCTGTACATTAACATAAGTGAAGATGATTTATCCCTGTTACATTTATTAATTCTAACACAGCCATGAATTTTCCTTTGCATGAAGCCTGTTAAGGACTTCAGCAGTTATACAATGTGCAACTATGAGGTTATGTTTAAAGGTTTATGCTGCAAATCATTCCAACCTCACACAGTGTATCCTTAGTAGGTAAAAACATCACCATAGGCATAAATTGTTGTTTTATGATTTGTTTTGGTCTTTTTTAAAGTTTTTTCTTATTTTTGTTAATAATTCACAAGAGCAAGATCTTTGAAATCAATGTTTTTCCTTTTATTGAAAACTTGGCTAAGGATCTGTACAGCAGAAAAGGTTTGTAAAGCACAAGGGCAAGAGGAGACGGGGTAGGGGGTGATGAGGGACTCCGTTTCCCATGGTGCATCATACCCTTAGCCGAGAATCATGTGTGAAACAGCAAGAGGTACTGAGTTTTCTCTTTGGAGTCTCAGAGGACTGGATGGGGGGGTTGAGTTGAGAGAGTTTAAAAAAATAAGAAAGAAAAAGAGAGGAAGCAAAGTACAGGCCAGAGGGGAGAAAGAGAAAAATAGAGACAGAGAGGGATGGAGGGTGGAATTGGTGGTTTAACTGGTCCTGCTGGTCGGGGGGGTAGAAATATACCTTCTCCTTTCACTCCGTTAGATCACAGACCTCTCAAAGGCACTGAGGTGAAGACGCCCAGACGTCTCTCCCCCGTTCCCTCTTGCTCCGCCCCTCTCCCTCACTTCCGCTCTTTCTCTTTCTCTCCTTCCCAAAGCCTCACTTGCTGGCCATGGTGTAGCAGCCATGTGGGTGAAACTGCATGTCAATAATACGCCTCACGGACTGGAACTCAGGGAAGCGGGCACCGTATTCATTGAAGTGCCTGTAGTCGCCCTTCTCCAGCAGGTACTGGGTGCCACGGTATCCAGGGTACTGGTATCCCACCCAGCTGGGGAAAGTAACGAGAAACAGAAATGGGTCATAAAGTAGGGATTTTCGTTTGCTGTTTGTCCTCTTTGGTGGTTTGGTACTCACGTTCCACAGCTGACCATAATGCTGCTCACGATATCTGTGAAGCCATAGGAGTAAAGGCTGGGAACGTCATCGTCCATGATCTCCATCTTGCGACCCTGGAAGTTTTCCATCTCATACAGGCAGATCTTGTGCTTCTCTGGGTCCTAAAGGTTAACACATCAGGAAAGAATGCTCAATTTCTACATAGAACCTAAAATAAGATGAGAATATAGATGTTTTTTTTACCATTCTGACAGGCCTGAAGGACATCAGGTAGTCATTGCGGTTGTTGCTGCTCCAGGAGCTCCAGCGAGGATACTCGCCCTTCTCCAGGATGAACATCTCACCACAGAAGTTCATCTGCTCAAATCCAACAAAGCTGCAACACAAAGTTGGGAGACAACCATTCAACGTTTTTTTTGTCTGAAATGAAGTCGAAACATGTGGTTTGGAGGAAACTTACGGTCCACACTCAACGCGCAGAGAACGGACGCGGTCCATGCCCATCTCACACACATTCATACACTCATTGTTGATCTCAATCATGCGACCCTGGAAGTTCTCCTGGTCAAACACGAACATCTGGTGGATGGAAAGAAAACTCACACGTTATATGTTTATCAGCTTATGTAACATCATTTACAGAGGGGCAGCTGATTGAGGGCGACAGACCTTGTAGGACATCATCCCCATCTCAGACTTCTTGCTCTGAGCGGCCTTGCCGTCAGTCTGGGAAGAAGTCTTGGCCTTATCTCCAGTGGACATGATTGCTGAATGAAAAAACATGGAGGTTCATGGCTCTTTTTCTTTTTTTTTTCTTTGACAAAAATATGAGCTGAATGAATATATAGGACTGAACTTCCAAAAATGTCTAGTGTGTCTTACCTGTCTGTGTGTGTGATGCCTGCACCGAGCTTCACTGAGAGTGTGTGTGGCTCAGAGAGCCCCCCTCGCTTTTATACGCTGGCGCCCACAGGAGGAGGATTATGCAGAGAGAAACAAACCTGCTGAGGTCAGAGCAGAGAGACAAAAGAAACCCCTCATCATCAGAGGGGGACAGGCAGAGAGGATAGACAGAAGCAGGGCGGCAGCAAGACAATTTCAATGTAGCTGCCATGACTTGAAGTATCCTGTGTAGTTTTAGATTGTTTTCATCCCCGTCTCTCACATAATATATGCTTTAAGTTTGACTGCGGCTGACTTGGAACAATTCTAATGAATTGTGTCCAATGGCACACTCCTTTTTATTATGTAAGGACCTCTGACTGGGAGAGATTATGTATAAGTAAAGAAAATGAGAAATACTTTTCTAAGAAATCAAATAATCCATTTTTTTATCATTTCATCCACTAAGTGCTGTTTTCTAGAACTCTTTTTCCAGTGGATTCTCAATGTTTAAGCACGCTACCTTAAATACATGAGAGACAAAGGCTAACTAGGCAACATCTGGATAAAATTAGACATTTCGGTGAGAAATTTAAAAAATATTACAAATATATATATATATTTTTTTTTGCTTATTGAACCGGCAAAGAAAAAAAAATATTGCTTGTTATGTGGCAGATATCAAGGACAGTCACAGTAATATTATGACAGTGCCATATATGATCAAACATAGATCCCAAAGCATTGTTTTAGTTTTCTGTTAGTGCTTTTCTAACTTTTTGTAATAGCTCGCTGTGCTGCTATGAAAACTACAGATTATTCCGCAACATGTAAATGTGTTGTTTTATGTATGTATTTATTGGACCATGAGTCCATAAAGACCATAGTATTATCTATCTATCTATCTATCTATCTATCTATCTATCTATCTATCTATCTATCTATCTATCTATCTATCTATCTATCTATCTATCTAT